TATTAGTATTAGTATATTAGTATTAGTATATTAGTATTAGTATTATTATGTTAGGAGGCAAAATGCAGTTACTGAAATAGGCAAATTACATATTAAATTTTCTCACTTTCATTTATTTACTCTAATTTTTGCTTTATTAGTAATTTATTTACAGCTAATATGTGTTATTTTTCTTCATCCATTCCATTTAATGTTAATTGCACTAATCATATTAGAATATTAATATATTTTGAAGATTCACTTGCTATAATATTAACCATTTGCATTCATTTATATGATAAAAACAGGTTTATTTGAAATAAATTTGTCATTTTTAATCTAAAAGAAATTATTCACAACAAGCAAATAGATAAGCAAATATTTAACGAATTTGTATGTAATTTTCATTCATCCGTAATGCTAAATAATCAAACATTCAACTTTCCCTTCAACTATTTTAATTTTCCCTTTCCATTTCTTTCATATTAAATTTCTCAATTCAATTAATCATTTTTCATGGTGAAATTTCTAAAATTAGCTATTCATACATTTTCTCTTTTCAAATTTGGCTCATGATAAATTTTCTAATGCGATTAGTCATTTTTCATATTGAAACCACCAAAATTAATCGTCCATACATTTTCTGTTTTCAAACTTTCAAATCATATTCAATTCTAAGCGTAATAATTTCCCAAAAATTTTATGCATTCAGTTCAACTAATTTTTGTTATATCATTTTTTTTTCTATTTCAATAATAATTAACATTATCTTTAATTTAATTTTCAATTTTTCTTTTCATTCTCTCTAAACTATTTTTTTTTTCAATTGTAATGCAAAACTTTGTCTAAATTGCGAACTGTTGCAGGAATACATATTGTTATTTTTCTTCTCTTCCATGCATTTAATTTTGCAATTGAAAAAATGTATTCGAGAAAAATCAATTTTTATCACGCAAATTAAATTTATTGAAAAATCTTTTACCATTCATTTTTACGAAGTTTCATCAATTTTTTTCCTAAAAAATTTTTTTCAGTTTTTCAACATTTCTAAAAGTTTATTCAAGATCATTTTTTTTCATCATGATGTTTATGCATGGTGACATCCAATCAAGAATAAATTCTGTTAAATTTTTTGTTGTTGCAAATCGAAAATGTACTATAATATAAAAAATGGAATGAAAGAGAAAACTCTTCCACAGGTAATAATGAGAAATTTTCTCCACAGGTAACATTATTAGTGCAGTTGAAACCTGCATCAGTTATTTGTCAACATTGCAAATTGAATTTCTAATTAATTATTAACACTGTGAATTGAATTTCTAATTAATTATCAACATTGTAAATTATCAATCACAGTGAACTTGAACGGGGATTAATTATGAACACAGTATATTTTAATATATATTAATTGTTAACACTATAAACCCAAATTTTATCATTTCCTTTTATCATTTAAATGATCTTCTTAATGGCACTAAATAGTAATTCATTCTTTTTTATCCAGCATTTTTCGTTTTATTTTCCAATATATAAACAAAATCATTTAGTAATAATTCATTGTCAACAAATGCAATCGACTTTGTAGTTTCATTTAAAATGAAAAGCTACTTTTACTTATTAGCTGAAATTTCTAACGGATCCTTAGTTAACTGTTATTCTTTTCAAAAGCTTCAATCCGATATGCAATTATTCTTGTATTATATGAAAAATATGCTTTATTATAAATATTTGGATAATTTTAAAATTGATCCATTTTTACTAAAAATGTGAAATCTTTAAATTTTATATCCCAGTAGATCAAACATCTATCTATTTGAAGGTTAATTAATATTTCACTAATTTTAATACTATATGATGAGAGTATTTGATTTTTAAACATTTTCAGATATGCAAATACATAAATACAAATTTATATTATACGAGAAAATTAGTTCCTGAAAATTTGAAAAACAACTTTTTTGCCGCAAGCAAATATTTTCCTTCCTACTAAAAATACCAAACATTCAGATTGTTTCCATTATTATGTAAATAAACAAAATATTTAATTATTTTCATGGAAAGAGAAATTTATGTGAACAACAAAACAATTATGAATTCAAATAATAAAAGGTTAATTTTTTTTTTACATTTTATTATATTTGCATACATTACTAATGCAATTGTTCTCATGGCATTTCGCATTATTTTTTGGTTTTAAAAAAAAACAAAACAATAATTCTATCATCGAACAAAATAATTATATAATTATTTTCCTGCATTTTGTAAACCCTTAAATTATCTTTTCTTCCTTTAATCATTTTTTCTTTTCTTTCTTCTCTCTCTCCCTCTTTCTCTCATTCTCTCTTTTGCTTTTAAAAAAAAGGCGATAAAAGTGGAAAACGGGTATTCACTTTTGAAACTTCTTTTATCACTGCAAATGAAGCAAAAAAAGATTGGAATTTAAAATTGCTAATGCAATGCTTATTCTTATAGCATCCTTAACGATTATTAGAGCAGCGGAATTTGTTTTTTTTTTTTTTAAAAAGAGTCATTTTTGTGAATGAAACTCAATTACGTCATAAATTCATTTAATCATTAAAAAAATTTCCATTCAACAATGTTACTAATAATTCACGTAACAGTAATAATATGCAAATAAAAAATTGCAATAATAATGATATGACATTCTTTTGCAATTAAAAAAAAAATTTTTTTTCTAGAAGTATGAAAATAACGAATATTTAAAGATATGATTAATTGAAGCCAAAATTATATCTGATGACATTTGTCATTCAATGTTTTCATAATATCAAAATTATGCTAAAGTTAATATTTTTGCATTCATTGATGATAATGCACTGAAATGTATGGAAGTAAAAAAAGGTTGAATGGAAACAAAATTCATAATATCAAAATTATGCTAAAGTTGATATTTTTGTGTTAATTTAATGATAATTACTAATATATATGATAAGTAAAAAAGGGTTGAAAGGAAGAGTTCGAGTTGAAAGAACAGTATGTGCTAAAATTTCACTTTACAAGATAGTAAACTTTGATGTTTTGTTCATTCATCTAATATTTCTGATCAATACGATGAATTCTTACAAAATGTTATCGAGCGGCATGTTTGTGCATGCCTAATATAACAAATGTCCCTGTATTTTTCCACGAAACCTTTTCGATTTAATTATTTGGCCTAATATGTATTGCTATTAATTATTCAAAAGTTTAGATTTTATTACTAGAAAGGTCAACAAAGTGTGTATTTGTATTTTTACGTTTACTATTACATTTCATTTCTTCTAAACTATCTTACTGTACCGTTATCATCAACGGATTATCTTCAACCGATTATGGACAGTGAAGGTATTTTCAACCCTAAATGTATATATTTTCATTTTCATACTTATTAAAGCAATACTTTGAAATTTCTTTTTTTTTTAATTTAAAAATTTCCTTAAATTTTAGCTCTTCTTTATGGTATTATATCGATTACTGTAATATCGCTATTATCACTAACTGGCCTTGTATTTTTACCTGTCATCAAAGGTGAATGGCGAAACAGATGGATGCAAATATTTATTGCTTTAGCTGTTGCAACATTGAGCTCAGATGCTTTACTTCATATTTTACCACAGGTAACTCTTGTAAGCTAAGAAAAAGACCGATTCTTGACTGCTAATTTTCGATCATAAATCGACAACTTTCTATGAATAATTTCAAACAAATGGTGGAAATTTAAATGTTCTTTAGATGATTGGAATTTTGAATATTTCGATATGTAAATAACGATTTTACTGATTGCACAATGATTGTGAAATGATGAAGTCGGTAACGTTCATCATTAATAATTAAGATATTTGGAGTACATGATCATTCACGTCATGGTCACATCCATCATTATCATCATCATCATCATCATCATCATCATCATCATAACCACAGCGATTTTGAAGTGGAACATAATCATTCAGATCATCATAATCATCATCATGATCATCATCACCATCATCAAGATCATATGGTTACATTTTAAACTTTTAAACATTATCATTAAATTAGGCTTGTCAATTTTTTTGCTTTTTTTAAAAGCTTTTATTTTAATTTTTGCTTTTTTAAAATTTTATTTTAATAATAACGATAATAGTCATTGTAAATATTTCATTATTTCTAAATAATGGTTGATATATTGTAATATTTACAGAAATTTGAAGATGAAAAATTTGCTTCCGAAGATCATTCAATGTTGCTGAAAATGACAGCCGTAATCGGAGCCGTTTACATTCTGTACATATTAGAATTCATCAGTGCTTTACCTATTTGGAAAAAAAAAACTGTGAGGAAGTTAGAATAAAAATATCAATGCTAAAATACAAATTCTTAAATGTCAATGAATTCAATGAAGTAATTTCAGAGCATGCCGAAAATCAGGAAGACATCAATTGTACTGCAAAATGGTTGGTCGGATGCTGAAACGTAAGTCAAAACAAGTAATTACTTATAGTAATTGTTTGTAACGTTTTTAAAAACAAAAACTATCTTAATGATAAAAGTTCATAATTATTAGTTTGATGTAATTATGATTATTCGTTATCGAGATATTTATCAAAAAATTCTAACCTTATTGATCGAAATTCGTATTCAAATAATTTATGAATTTGTCAAATGTTTTTCATATACCGTGTTGTTGTTTGTTGTTTTGTTGTTGTTGCTGTTTTGTTATTCTGTTGTTTTGTTATTTTCGTTATTATTGTTTGTTTATTCGTTGAAAAAAAGTTGTATGTGAGCAAACAAACAAAATTAATTCTAGAACAAGATTTTATTTTAATTTAGTTCTCCTCAATATTAAAGCATTTTTGTAAGAAGTATAAAAATTAAATGTTAAACACTGAAGTGGAAGTCGAAAGAGTATTGATAATTGTCATCGCGGTGTTAGCAACGGTATTGCGGATGAACCGGTAGTAATGTGCGGCCTTAAAAGCACCGCATTCGTGATCATTTTCGGTGACGCAATTCATAATTTCATCGATGGAATTGCTGTTGGCGCAAGTTTTGCTATATCAAATC